GTAAAAAATAATCATTATACAGAATAATGTGTATTAATACATTATACTCATTGATTAATGTTGCAGGTACTTTATATACTGCTGTGTACCTTAGACAATATTAATACATCATAATGTACTAGCTGATTAATAATCTGTGAAGTAAATAAAGCTGTCAGACAAATAAAGCAGTAAAAAAGTACAATATTTACTCTGAGATTTAATGTAGCAGGAAATGGAAATACTCGAGTATAAGTACCTCAACGTCGTACTTAAGTAGTACCTGAGTACTTTACTCACATCGTCGCTGCAGCTCAAAGTGTAAAAGTTTGCAGTAGAAGTACCTCACAGCTGTACTTGGGTACGTGTACTTTATGTGTACTTAAAACACGGTGTCGTCACGTACCTTCAGCGAACCGCCGAGAAGATTCAATAAAGTGATGAGTAACGAACTCTTCAGGAGCGACTGAGTACTTATTATTGTTATTGTTATTATTATAATAAACGGAATAAAGAGTTGAAGCTTGAAGTCAGAGTTGGTTCCTGAGTCTGCAGCAGCAGAAGTCTGCAGGACCTGACATGTCTGATCCTAGACCGGGATCCACCCCTAGAGGTCTGAACCTAGACCAGGTTCCACCCATAGAGGACTACCCCCCTCCGCCCCGCTCCTCACCTTCACTGATCGCTGATCGATATCCTCGGATCGATCCCGTGTGTGTGTGTGTGTGTGTGTGTGTCGGTGGTCCAGGTGTCTCCCTCCTGGCCGGTCCGCCTCCTCTACATGCTGAGTGAGTGTGAACCCGGAAAACAGCCGCGCGCGGCCGCTGCGTTAACTATAAAAGGAGTTGATTTCCTCAAGAGGAACTGAGCTGCGAGCCAATCAGCGAGCAGCGCGAGAGAGAGCAAAACCTTGCAACCTATAACTTCACCGTCGGCCGACGGAGGCAACTGCAACTGAGAGAGAACCGAAGTCCAAAAGTATGGAAGCCCGTGAATACAATTCTGACTTTAAAAATCTAAATAATAAAAAAATGAATAATAAATTTGATTTTTTCTAAAAACAAGAATTTTGATTACAAATGTGTTAAAAATACCAACTTTTCATCCATTATTTATTTCATTTCATTTCATTTTATTTTATTTTATTTAAAAAACTGTATTGTCAAACTACAAACAACCTCGGTGAAATCCTACATTTCCCATGTTGCCCCGCGCCCATGGAAGTGCGTCATCACGCGTGACCTTGCCACTCTTCTTCTTCACCTGTTTTTCCTAGCTGGCTGAAGAGAGTGGACGAGCATGGCGAGTAAAGATCCCGCAGTAAGTAGCGTTAATATTAACTCACGGCACAATTTCTGCCTTCACGTCGGTTCAACCGCTCTGCTGTTTCCCGCTCTTTTGCACGCTGGCTCGTGACATTATTGGCATTCTTAGAACAGCGCGTCACACACGTGAGTCAGGCTTATGTGATGTAAGCTAACGTTAGCTTTAAAGCTAGCTCACCGTTACAGTAACGTTAGCTTAGTTCAGACTCAGATTCAGGTCAGAGAAGAAGACATTAAAGATGGAAAGATAAATAAAGATCTGTGTCTTTCTGTCTCTCTCTCTATGTCTGTCTCTCTCTATCTGATGGACGTTTTAAAGTTAATAAATGTTGGTTGGCTAACGTGTAACTTCTTCTTAGCAGGAATATGAAGCCATTCATTCGTAGGATGAGACGCCAGTTTCCTAGTATAAATCTAATTACTGTCCTCTCTTATAGTTGTATTAACATCATTATAGAATAACAGAATATCTTCTTTAATTCAGCACACATCCCTCCTCCTCACCCTCTTCCTCCTTCCTGTGCCAGTCTCAGTCCCCTGCGCTGGTCTCAGTCCCTGCATAGTAGTTGAGGAGGTGTCAACCTTCAACATGGTTACCGAAGGTCGCTCTGTGTCATGTCTACTTAAGTGTTTCCTCATTGGTCAACATTTAGTCCTGGCAGTACTCTTCTTCTCCTTCCTCCTCTTGTCCTTCCTCCTTGTTCTTCTCCTCTTCTCCTTCCTCCTCCTCGTCTTTTTCCTAACCTGCCTCTCCTTCCTCCTCCTGTGTTTACTCATTTGTCAACATTTGGTCCTCAAAGTCTTTGAGCCTGAGTCTCCCGGTCTATGAGCCTGAGTCTCCCGGTCTATGAGCCTGAGTCTCCCGGTCTATGAGCCTGAGTCTCCCGGTCTATGAGCCTGAGTCTCCCGGTCTTTGTGTGTTTTCAGGGTTTTCTGCAGCAGCTTCGTCAGATAGCGTCCCGGATGTCAGCTGGATCTCGAGGAGCCGGAGTGGGTCTGAAGCTGCTGGTGGGAGCTGGAGCTCTGGCCTATGGAGTCAAGGAGGCAACATACACAGGTAGTACTTTAGCTTATTAATCATGCATAATGTCACATAAATATCATTTACACCTGTCACTCACTAGATGTTTGACAACATCTAGTTTCATGGTGACAACTGTTGGATATATGTATTACTCTATTCTCCTGTAGTGTCTCTCCTTTAAGTAATTTGAGAGAATCTTGAAGAAAACACAAATGTGCAGATGTGTTGTAGTATTATTGAACTGGTAGTGATGCGTCTGTGTGTCCTGTAGTTGAAGGAGGACAGAGAGCGATCGTCTTCAACAGGTTTGGAGGGATGCAGATGGACACCGTCCTCTCTGAGGGACTCCACTTCAGGTAGGAGGAGTCTCAACTAACACATGAAGAGGCTTACAGAACATCTGGGGCGGATATCGACCAATGATGTCGACTCAATGACACCCTTTAACTTTCAAAATAAAAGCTGGGACAGTGGCGTGGTCTTACTGAGAGAGCTGCAGTCGTGTTATTCGTGTTTCACAATTGAACACAATTAAAAAGCATGTTTTCTATGAAACACTTCACCGTTTATCAGAGCCGGAAGCCATTATTAAGTCATTATTGTCAGATTTTCATCTTTCCGACGGTCTTTGAACACATCGTGTGTGAAGAATGCTTTCATCAGAAAGAGCAACAAAACAAAGCTTCAAATTGTGATATTGAATTTTGATTGCAAACATGATCTCCTCTGATAATATGCTCTAGAGCAGAGGTAGCCAACACGGTGCCCGCGGGCATCTGGTCGCCCGCAGGGACCACGTGAGTCACCTGCAAGGCATGTTCTAAAAATAGCACTAGTCACCATGGAGCTCCGTCTAAAATTGTAGTTGCTGTTCATTTTTAATCAAAAACGCATTAGTGTAGATTTTAAAATGACAATATTTCTTGTCGTAAGAGAGTTGGGTACCCAGAGGAGCACGGCGGACAGCCAGGAAGAGGCTGCCGTACCGCACTGGGTTTTCAGGTTCCGAATGGCGGGCGCTTCCCGTTGGCGCCGGACGCGCGCCGCGAGCGTCAGGTCCGTCAGTCCTCGGAACAGGCCGCGGGGCAACAACTCTTGGGTGGCGGGGGTAGAGGCGAGGCAACGCAATCCGACCGAAAAGGCCCAGACTAGAGGTTTGAACGCGGGCGCCCGAAGATACTCGCGCGCCTCGGAGGGTTGGATCCCCCCTCGGCTATAGACCAGACTGGTTACTAGTTTCTTCGTGGAGAAAAAGGTACCGTTAGAAATGGTGTCGGTGACAACAGACGGGGCTCCCGCCATGACGGGCCGGCATGCAGGCTTCATTGCGCAATGTAAAGGTGACCCAGACTTCCCCAAATGTCTACATTACCACTGCATCATTCACCAGCAGGCGCTGTGTGCAGGAGTAACCGGCTTTGATCACGTGATGACTCCTGTCTGAAGATCATAAATGGCATCCGATCCAAAGCAAACAACACAGGACATTCATAACTGATCATTTGTATAAACATGGGACAGAGCTGATTTGTTCAAAAATGTTACAAAAGTGGTTATTACCAACGAGACATGATGTGAAGATATGACAGTTAATGATTTCACAGAAAATGATCATTTTTACAAAAATATAACAGGTGTGATTTTGAACCAAATGCTGGAAATGTGCTTATTCATACAAAACTGTCAAGAAAGACATTTACTAAAACATCAGAGATGTGATACCTCTGACCTTCAAATGTTGAAACAGAAGAACAGAAATAAAAGTTTAAATATATCTGTGTTTCTACCATCATGTTGTGGAAATCATTGTTAATAATTATTGTGAGGAATAATTAACATTGACATGTGATCAGACAGTGTCTCCACACATATTATTATTATTATTATTATTATTAAGGTGATCTGTGCAACTTTGTTATTCAGGAGGTTTGTATCAAACAAGCAGCCCTTCGTACTACTCGGTACCCTTCAAGTAGCTCTGTTTCAAAAAGGTTGGTGACCCCTGCTATAGAATCATGTAGATTACTCCACTACTCTGTCTATATACTCTCAGGATATTTGTTTTTATGCGACATGTCAACACAGTTTTCACTTTAATATTCAAACCTTCTGTTTGTCTTGTGCTGCTTTATATCAATAAACTACAATTAAATAGTCCATTAGATTTATTTGGGAGTGAAATGAGTCGTTTAAATTAATCAATTAAATCAGTAAAATGTTGATAAATGGTGGAAAATCATTAGTAGTTTAGGAAGTCAAATATTCTGCTCATCATTTCAACGCCTACATTTAGAATAACTATTTATAACGTTAAAATCTATATTTTGTTTTCTTCTACGTATTTATTTTTATTTGCTCGTCACAGAAATCTTATGAATGCAGAAACAAGCAAAAAACATGACATAATCAAATGTAGAAAGTTTGCAGGAAGAACTTGGATTGAGAAGAATGAATGGATTCATAAACGAGTCGTATTGCTCGTTTATAACTCGTGTCGTTGTCTTCAGGATTCCCTGGATCCAGTATCCCGTCATCTACGACATCAGAGCCAGACCCAGGAAGATCTCCTCCCTCACCGGAAGCAAAGGTCAGACTCTCAAACATATAGACCTGTCAATCACAGTAAGCCCCGCCCTAAAGCATCCCCTGCTTTATGGTCTGTGTGACTCTAA